CTCTCTCTCTCTCTCACACACACACACACACACACACACACACAATAAAGTGGAAAAAAAAGGAATGGCTCTTGGTTGAAATGATTTGTTTTGGGGAAGCACTGGCCTGTAATTTTTGTTAAACAATGTATGGCAGATTCCCTAAAGAGGGAATGTTCTTTAAAAACTTCATTTTCTTAGTCACAAACACTTCCTCCTAGGGGCAAGTGTGTGCTTCTGTGTTCAGGAAACACCCCAGCCATTCTCTCACACTATGGAGGTGTCCTTCCAGTGACAGCATGGGGAAGCTCTGGTGACTCCTGCTTTACAGTTTGAAAATTAAGTCCCAAGTGGCTAACAGCTGTCATTCTAGCCTTCTGGGAGAGGAATTTACATAAATTGGCTTTATTGAGTTTGTCTGGATAAATCCCCAAATCCATGAGTTTATTGCATTGTTTTGCTGTTTTGAAGGGTGAAGAAATAAGGGGACTTTGCTGAAGCAAAAAAATTGCCTCAAGTAATCTTTGCCTGGGAGAGTGTACATTGATAGCACTTAGGCTAGGCAACTGGCATAGGCCAGCTTAGGAGCTGAAGGCCAAGGCTAGGGGATAAGAGTTAGAGACCAGCTTGCGCTGCTTAGTGAGATCCAGCTAGCCTGAGACTAGAGTAAGATACTGTCTCAAACAAACAAACAAACAACAAAAACAAAAAACCCAGAAAACAAACAAGAGGCTGGAGAGATGGCTCAGTAGTTAAGGGTCCTTGAAGCTCTCCCAGAGGGATTGTAAAGCCAGTATCCACACAAGGTAACAGCCTGCAATTCCACATCCACTGGCTTCAGTGGGCTTCTGGCTTCAGTGGGCACTCCCACATGTACACACACACATACACACACACCCCAAAGCCCCAAAATTTTGGACTCTCTTTGCAGCCCAAAGAATAATAACCCCTGGTTTCCCTAGCAAGGCTGACTTGCAGGACAACTGCTATTTGACTTGAAACTTTCTCTCTCCCCTCAGTACCTCTGACATTCTCTTCCCACACGACCCCAGGTCTAGAAATGCTTCCACCCTGGTCCTTGCCTCCATCAGGGTGACTGTGATCATGAACCAGGGCGGAGGGCAGCAGGTGTAGCTGTCATAGTACCACTTGCGGTCAATCTCCCGGGGCAGAGTCTCGTAGGCCACGTGGCGGATGAGCCGCTGTGAGAGGCTCAACCCCTTCTCCTCCAGCAGGGCCTTGCTGCTCAGCCTGCGGTTGCCCTGAAGGATGGCCTGGCGGAAGCTGTTGGATCGCTTGTTGCTCATCTGCACAGGAAATGATGTGGGGAGAGGGTGAGAGCCGGTCAGGCGCACCATACCCACACCTCAGCCTGTGTGTCCCCTAGAGCAATCCTAAACCCTCTTCTCTGAGTTCTGAGTAGCACTCCCTGAATGCCACTGTGTCGACCTCTGACCTCACAGATCATCTCCTAATAGAAAACTGAGGTACAGAGAGCGCACAAGAAGACACAGGTTCAAACCCAGGCCTGTACTCATACATTCCTCCTACCCACTCATTCTTATCCCCCATCCCCAGACATGGGAGCCAGTGGCCCTCAGACAGAGAGGAAACCAGCAGTCACAGTTCAGAGTGACAGCTGCTATGTATCTCAAGGTGGCCATCAAGGGCTTTCTTGAAGGAGGTGATGGCCAGGTGAAGACCAGGGGTATGTGAGTATCCTCAGATATACCAGCTTGGGAAGGTGCAAGCAGGTCTTGGTTCAGCCAGCTGTTAGAAACTGCCAGAGTCAGAACCCAATGTCATGGAAGCTATGACTCCCGAGTGTCTCCTGGGACATATGACACTCGCTGAGCCCAGGGCCTTACCCAAGACCAGGTCTTGCCCTCAGCATTCCAGGCCTGGCCCCCATAGAACCATCTGCTTCACCTGGTGATTAGCCTGACTTCCAGCCTCTGGAAGCCTCTGCCAGCCTTGACTTTCTTGCCAAAATTATACTGTAAACTATTCCCAGAGGGAAAGCCCAAAAGACCCAGATCTCCTGGCCCAGGGGCCCATAGCTACTGGCATGTAGTTACTGATACACTTCAGACCACAGGAGGAGATAATGCAGCCAGACCCAAAGGCAAAATCCAGGCAGGTCTAGCAAAGTGAATGGGGCCAGAGCAGGGCATAGGAGTCTGAGGCTCTTCCTGGAGGGCATCTGGAAGGATCCAGGTTTAGATAAGGCTGTGTAGTGGGAGCCTCCCTTGCAGAGGCCCCTTCCACATTCCTGAGTCCTGCTTCTCACTGTTCCCCGTGTGGCATCAAGTCATCCTTCTCTGGCTGGCTGGCCTCAGTGAAGCCCTTCTAGCCATGGCTGCCCTCCAGATGATGGTGATTTGTTCTGCGTGGATTGGTAAAAGAAGGGCCATAGCAATCATGCAGGGAGATTTTCCACCAGAAGTACATTAAGAGAAAGCAGAAACATGCAAATATAGTCCTTTATCATATTCAGTCCTTTGTTAAAAAAAAAGAAACCTGTATGAACCATTAGATTCATTTTACAAATGGAAAAAGAGAAGCAGAGTTGGCAGCAAAAGCAAAGTGAGGACCAAGGCTCTAAGGTGGTCCCCTTTACATGAATGCAGGCTATGATTAGCTGTTCCAGGTCAGAGTCTGGACAGAAAAATGTGACAGTATCATGACAATGTCATGTCATGAGCTCACACAGAGGGCTCCACTGGGATGGAGCCAGACAGGAGACAAACACCTTGCCTGGCCAGGCCTTGAGATTGGGCAGGCACATGGTGCATATGGGTCAGGCTGGGCACAAGCCAGAGGCAGGCTCATGTTTTGCTTCTTGGTGAGGTTGACACTTCTGTGGCCCAGTCTGTGAGCAGCTGTCTAAGCTCAGCTTGGGCCCAGGCTTCCAGGTCTGCTCCTTGGGTCTACTCACAATAGTGGAATTCTATTCTACTGCTGAAAGACTGTAGCAGTTCCTTGCAAACCCACAAATCCACAGACTGGCAACCTGCAGCTGAGAGACCACTGAAGCTGCTATCTGGGCAGCCATGTCACAGAGAGTTAAGATGGGACGGAGACAGCAGGCTTCCCTGGCCCTGCCTGAGGCCTTCAGTGCCTAAGAATACAGGGGACTTCACAGAGTTCTTTCTCCTTCATGGGGGTAGGGGGACATGAAGAGATTGGACAGCCGCACCAATGGGGAACCAGTGAAGGCATCCTGCCTTGTATTTACCTTGCTAGTCCATGTAGCTTGAACTGATGT